CAGCTATTCCAGCTACCCTGAAGTCCCAAACCATATTTACATATTTACAGTCCATGTCCTTTAGGCTGTACCTGAGCAGCACCTGAGCAGTGAGCTACGTACTACGGGTGAGCGTATTGCATCATTTTCTGTTCTGTTCTCCTCTGTACTCTGTTACTGTGTACCTGCTCATAGCTTAGCAGTTAGCTTTACAATAGCTTCTTTTTCTGTCTCTCCCTCTCCTGCTCTCTCCTGCTCTACGTGTCAGATGTTAAGTTACTCCTCATCCTCCTTTAGTGAGGCTAGGGTGTCTGAGTTAGAGAGACGGCTCCGCACCATTGAGTCAGAGTCATCTTATGCAGCAGTAGTTAGCCAGCCACCTGTAGCCGGTGCGGGCCGACATAGCTTGGCTTCCCCTCCGGTAGCTCCCGAGCAGTGGCTGGGTTACTGTCCGAGGGAAGCATAGTCAAAAATTGAAGCACACGGTTCCCCACCAACCACTTCAAGTTTCAAACAAATTTTCCCCACTCAGCGACACACCCGCTGAGAATAAAACTCTGATTATTGGAGACTCCATAGTCCGAAACGTGAAGTTAGCCAAGTCAGAGGGCATAGTTAGGTGTATACCCGGGGCCAGAGCGGGCGACATCGCATCTCATTTAAAGTCTGACAAAGACTAAAGGTAGATTTGATACAATCGTAATTCATGTCGGCACTAATGACTCCCGACTACGCCAGTCGGAAGTCACTAAGATTAATGTGGAGTCGGTGTGTACTTTTGCTAAGACGATGTCGGACTCTGTAGTGTTCTCTGGACCTCTCCCAAATCAGACCAGTGATGACATGTATAGCCGCATGTCTGTCGAGGTGGTGTCCAGCACCTGTGTCCAAACACTGTTGAAACTAAAATCAACATTTAATGATTTAATGACTTCTAACGGAGTGCACTACTTCACAGAGGGGGCGGGTGTAGGAGTTGGTTTGAAAAAGGCCCCAGGTCCCCCTACACTTCACACCTTGGTGTGAGGTGTTGCAGAGCATGCTGGGATAGTGTTTCTGCAGGGAATGCTGAGAATCAGTGTTTTTTTTGTTGGGCCTTTGTTGATTTCCTAGCTCAAAGTACTCAAATCAGGCTTCTGTATTGGCTACAGGCCGGACCATTGTTTCAACACATGGCGATCTCAACATATAGGTAGCCTATTACAGAAAATGTCTGATGTGTAACAAAACAGGAAGTTGCCATAAATATTTGCAAAGTCATTATTCCCTGCAATTTGGTGTAAGTTTCAACTCTGATCATGCTTCACACTTCAACTGTTTTTCACTGCTGTCCGAGATTATCTTTTCTTCTTCTTTTATTTTGCTGTTAACTTTTTCTTTGACCAGTTCCTTACTTTTCATTTTATCTTCATTCATGTCATGTGCGCCACCGTGAAGAGTCAAGGTAAAAAATAATATAGTTTTTTTGTGGGGGCTTTAACATAGAAGGGTCAAACTATTCCCAAATGAGTTCATAATGGATCATGTAACTAGAAAACAACACTAGCACACAGAGAGACAGTTTTACTCTGCAGTGCAGTTAGGGAGGCAACCGTCTTTTGTACAGGTTTAGTGGGCGCACCGATCTGTATGTATAAAAGAGGATGATTACTTTGGTGTAAGGAGCAGTTCATCCCTGCAGGAACTTCTAGGCTTCATTTAAGGTAAGAGACATGCTTTACAACATGATTCCAGTTGGAAACAATTGGACTGATACAGATAGACGACAAACACAGACTCAATATCAGGTCTTCTGAGTATTTTAACGTTTTTGTTTCACAGTTAAAACAACCAGTGCTGAAAATATAGTAATTATTTGCTTCCTCCTCAGGGATTCTTCTGCTTTTGAGGGTGAAAATGGCAAATTATGAAGTGACTGTCTCCACTGGCAATCTCCTCTATGCCAACACTTTCAACAATATCTACATTAAGCTGGTGGGGACAGATGGGGAGAGCAATCACACCTGGCTCCTGAACATCTCAGGGCCTTTAGCCTTCAACACTGGAGCAGTAAGTGTAAAATATTCTTCTCTATGTGTAACGTTTAGCTTGACTAAAATAAAGTTTCCTTCCTAATAGCAGTATACCAGCTCCATCTCTACAGTGGGTCTGTGGATATTGCGTGATTACATGCTCAACTGTCTCGTGTCAAACATACGGGGATGTTTACCAATGATCTTTTCTATTTTTCAGGTGTAGGCCTATGTCCGAAATGCATTCTTGTTACTTTTGCCATTTTTTCCTTATTTATTTTTAATTATAAGATATATAGGCTACTTTATTAATTAATCCCACGAGGGGAAATGCAATTATGTCTTTGATTTCTTCTTTTCTGTGACTTAGGCCTACTGCCATATTTACTTCTGACTTTGTTGCTACTTCCTTTGCAAATCTTTCCTTATCCAAATTTAAGCTAAGTAAATCCCAATAGTTCCCAGCTTTGAAGACAGATAAATCATCATTAATTCATTTGATAGACATTTTGCTGAAATCTGGATTGATGAATGAAATCCCATACTCTGTCATTCTTTGTTTTGTTTGCATCAGTGCATACTTTAAGATAATCAGCAGTCTTCCTGTGTTCTTGTGCAATGTTTCTCTAAATGTAATCCCCAGTCTTTGCTTATCCGTCCTCTATAATGCCTGTCCATTTTCTCTCATTTACTTGGCCAATACTGCCCCCTTGTGGGGATTCAGTACACTATAGCCTTTGTGAAGAAACATTCCATACAACTATAGTGCTGTTGTTGTAAATTTATCACGAAAGCTGACTCCGAATTTTATAAATATAATTCTTCAGGCAATGCTCACAAATGTGACCAAATGTCAATAAATCCTAACAATGAGTTATATTAAAATATTTTGTGCAAACGTTTGAGTTGTCCAATATTATGTTTTCAGTATTTGTATGCCAATTACAGGTGGGTGTTAGCTAAGTTTTTGGTATTCAAATACATTTTATCTAACCTCATTTCTGTCATTACTCAAGGAGTCTACTTTCACCCTGTCCTGCACTAACTCCATTGGAAAGCTGCTCCTGATAGAGCTGAACAAACATCCGGTCATAGCTTTCCCTGAAGACGCCTGGTTTCCTAACAAGGTGGAAGTGAAATCCCCTGAAGGACAAACTTTCAACTTTCCGATCTACCACTGGATCACTGACAGTGAGGTGCACCTTTACAGGGATGGAAAAGGTTTGTACTGTTCACTTACCACTGACAACATTTAAATATCTATCCATCTATCTATCTATCTATCCATCAATCCATCCATCTATATATCTATCTGTCTATATGCCTTCAGTTTAACAGCTCCTATGCTTTGGAACACCCTCTCCATGTTCATTCAAAAAAAATTAAGCACCAACCAGCCTTAACTCGGCCTTTCAATCTGTCTAACATCCTTTGCTACCTGTCTAAGTTTTGCTTTTGTTTTGATTTTTGTTTGGTCCATCCACCATGTAAAGTGTCTTTGGGTCCCTTGAAAGACATTCAATCTATTATTACTATTATTGTAGTATTATTGTGTTTTTCTCTCTAAGCTCTTTTGGTCTATGAAGACACCCATCCTCTTGGCAAGTACTGTCGGGAAAAGGAGCTAAAGGAGCGAGAGGAAGCCTATCAGTGAGCACTGAGAGCATTTCATTTTAATTTCCTCGAAAAAATGCATGTAAAGCAATTCAACCTTTGAATAAATATAATTATTTTCATAACCATAAATTCATAAACTTGTGCAATTGTGAGACCTGTCAGGTTGTATCTGAATCTATTATATATATTAATAAAACACATCAATTAATGAAGAAACTGTATACACTGTATGTCCAGTATAGCACGCTTCCTCTAAATTAAAACTCCAGAAACTAGATTATCTCAACTTGTACATTTTCTAAATCTGATTTTCTCTGTTTTCCCAGATGGCATGTGTATGAACAGGGAATCCCCCGATGCATGAAGGCAGAAAACACTGAGTCTCTGCCTTTGGAGGTCCATTTCTCCTTCACCAAGACTACAGAGTTTCTCTTCACTGCAGCTCAAGGGTGAAGTCCATAAATTCTAACAGCAATCTATTAATAAATACAACTATGTTCATTCCTTGCTACCTATTTAGCGACACTATTAAATATATGTCTTTTTGCATATATTTCCTAGGTTGATTGAGCTGAAACTGGATGGTCAGGGTGATTGCACAGAGAAGTGGACTGACATGGATAGTATCTACCGGGCATTCTGCTGCAAAATCACTGACATATCAGGTATTTCTCTATTATCAAGCTTGCACTTCATACAGTTACAGGTCGCCAATGGTCCGATCACCTACGTTAAAAAAAGTTGACCCGCCAGCCGAGACCAACTTGATGTTTAAACATCACCTTTGATCAGGGTTCTCACAAAAGTTGATAATAAATTGAAGGTTTGGAATACAGGTAGTATGATTTGTCTTTCATCAAGACCACCCACAATGGGCATTAACAGGTTCCAATTGATAGAACAGGGGGGAAAAGTCCTCTTAGAAATCATACTAGTATGGATCCATGACTTCTGCAATAAAATGAAGTTGTCTCCTCACTTTTTCATGTCTAATGAAGGGCTAGAGCCTGAAACATTTGGTGATGAATTGGAGCCATTTCTGCTGTGTAGAATAAGTCTTCCTATTGTCTTTATTCCTGAGATAAACTTCAGATATTACGAAAACAAAAAACTGTCTTTGGATTTCTTGTGAAAAATTAGGTATTAGGTACCTAATGTATATATATTTTTTTTTATAGAAAACTACTAATTGTATTCATTTCTTATGTTTTTGACTCTGAATTATGTGAAACACATTGTTTGTTAATTTTCTATATCACCTGCAGTCCTGTCACAATTTAACAGTTAATCTGAAACTGAATAAAAAGCCTGCTTCCTTTTCCAGTCTATGTCCAGAAACATTGGAAGGAGGATGAATTTTTCGCCTACCAGTTTCTAAATGGCGTCAACCCCATGCTGATCCGACGCTGTTCCGCCATACCCAAGAACTTTCCAGTCACTGAAAGCATGGTCTTCATCCATGGTCCACATACCCTGGAAGAGGAATTAAAGGTGATTGTGATGCCTTTTATGGGTCTTAGTATTAGAAAGATACAGTTCCCTGATGACATGATAATTATGGACCTGCAAGTCGCACTTACATTTCCAATCCATATTTGTACTTCACAATGTATGAGTAAAATAAATTATTTTCTTGACTAAAATTTCAAACAGAATGAAAACATATACCTGTGTGACTACAAGCTTTTGGATGGAGTGGAAGCAAACACCATCAACGGGAAGAAGCAGTACTTGATGGCTCCCCTCGTCCTGCTCCAAAGAACACCAGATGACAAGCTGATGCCAATCGCTATTCAGGTGAGAGTGACAGAAGAGCTGTAAAGCAGTAGAGAATTTGTAAATTATTATTTATATATTCCTAAAATTCTAGCTAGTTCTATATAGCTGCTATTATTTCCTCTTGGAACTGCAAGTTTCTTTTTTTGTCCAAGCTGAAACTTACCTGGCTGAGAATTTAACTGCAGTTCCATGATTGACCACTTGGGTTTAGCTTATAAACATGGCCAATCCCCTTTACTTGTCGTTTAAAAAAAAAAACAACATAGGAAAAAAAATAGGAAAAGATTTCTCTCCAGCTATTTTGTCTCTTCATGACCGCTTTGATTGATGAGGGATGTTTCTGGCTGCAGAAGGAGTCACTGAACGTATTTGCGGGTTTGTGTCGTTGGTGTTGGCTGGCGCTCCTGCTATTACATTGTGTTAAATTCAAGTATGGAAAACATCAGCAAATACACCCACAACATTTATTTAGGTGCTGAGTTGGAGAAAATGACTAGATAAGATGCACAAAGACTTGCAACACTATGGCTCCCACTATACAGTACCTGATGAAGAGTCCTGTTGGTCTCCAAACATTGTTTTGTTTAATGGGTATAGCAACTATATAAGTATATCTTTGGGAACCATAGTGTAGTCTTTGTGCGTCTTAAATTCAAGTATGACTTTTTGGCTTTATAGCACTAACTAGCAGGTATACTGCAGTCTCCATACTTCACTGTACAATTTCCAATAAACGGGCAAACATACAGACTTGGTTGTTCATCATGTTTAATCAGTGATTTTAATGTATTGAATGACTGGAATTACATACATCTCACTTTCTTCCCCTGTAGCTGAAGCAGACTCCTGGCTACAACAATCCCATCTTTTGTCCTACTGATTCTGAGTACGACTGGTTGATGGCCAAGATTTTTGTGAGAAGTGCAGATTTCAACTTCCATGAACTCAATATTCACCTGCTGCGCACACATCTGCTGGCTGAAGTTTTTGCTGTATCTCTACTGCGAAATGTGCCCATGGTGCATCCACTGTACAAGGTGACACGCAAGATGGAACACTAAACTTACTGTCGTTTTTTCCAACTTGCTGATGTTTGAAACTTCCAAAGTTGATGAACCATGTTGTTCAAATGTGCACTGTGCAGTCAATGTTTATAAGTATTATAAAAATATGAAATATGTTTCCAAGAAATAATTTTACTGAGTGTAACATTATTTAATCTTTCCCTCAGCTGCTCATCCCTCACACTCGCTACAGCCTGCAGATCAACCTCATGGCTCGAAATCGGCTCATTTCTAAGGATGGTACTTTCACAGAGGTAGGAAAAGACCAACACTGCACGCTCAGTAACCTTAACAATGTTTTTTTAAGCATCAATAGCATGTCCAGTAACTGTATTAAACAGTATTCAATGTATACTGGTTTCTAGTACACAGCTTGTGGTGGAGAGGGTATGTTCACAATCCTGAAGAGATCAATGGCCTCAATGACCTACAGCTCCCTCTGCATACCAGATGACATCGCTGAGCGTGGGATGGAGGCTGTACCCAACTACTACTACAGGGATGATGGACTCAAGCTTTGGGATATCATCCACAAGTATTTAATTTCAATTTTGCATTTTGTTTGCTACTAGTGTTGGAGCAAAATTAAGAATTCAGATTATCTTTATTGTCCCACAAGGGGAAATTTGTTGTACAGCAGGATCACACAGAAAGACAACATCAACAGTAAAACAGTGCAAGTATGGCTTGCATTTAGGTTGCAACTCATATCGTACAAAATAGTCTTAAAAGAACAGGAAAAGGACATATATGGCTTAAATTATTTGTTTATGGCCTTCAAATTAGTGTCTTACTAATGCAGGTGTATTAAAATGTATAATTCATCCCAAAGTATTCTTGATGAAACTTCCCCATGTTTCTTAAAGGTTTGTGAAGGGAATCCTCAACTGCTACTACAAGAGCGATGCTGACGTCGAGAAAGACTCTGAACTGCAGAAGTGGATTTCAGACATTTTTGTAGAGGGATTCCTTTCCAATGCAAAGACAGGTGTGCTTTCATAAAAACTCTTATCTTTATCTTCATAAATATGTATATTACTTTAATTAACTTATATAGACACCTTTATATCATGCAGTTTATTCTCCCCGATTCACAGGAATTCCCCAGGGCTTTTCCACCGTGGCTGCGTTGGTCAAGTTTGTCACCATGGTGATCTTTACCTGCTCGGTACAGCACTCAGCTGTGAATTCTGGACAGGTAAATCTATTTAATGATGTTTTATTTCTTTTGGAATGGTTTGATTAGAATTTGCATTTTTCTTTGAAGCGAAGAGATTGAAGCCAAACCTCACCAGGTCCATTGTTTTAAACCAATCCTTCACTATTTTAAACAATTGATGTTGTGTTTTCCTTCCCTTCCATAAAGACACTTTAACTAAACGTTGGAGCATAAATAACGTACGACAATGCAGGAGATAAATGTGGAAAAAACACCTTCATTGACTGCTTGGGTTCATACTGAATTATTTCATAAAGTCAAGGGCAGACTGTCGATAAGCCTGGCTTGGCGCTGCTCTTAGAACTATAAACATACAAATTACATTTTGCTACCTGGCTTAGACATTTTATTTATTAGCATGTTCATAGTACTTTGCTTCAAAAAGTAATAATCAGGAACCGTTCAATCATTCATTCATTGCAGTATGACTATGGTGCCTGGATGCCTAACACTCCCATCTCCCTGCAACTTCCTCCACCAACCACCAAGGGGACAACAAGTGAGGCCACCATGCTGGAGACGTTCCCTGATGTCAATGTGACAGTTCAGGGGATGGCCATCATGCATCTTCTCAGCAAGCAATCCACTGACTTTGTAAGTGCAACGACCTCTTGAAAAGTTTACATGAATCAAACGTATACCTGAGATGTTTCAAGTAGGTTCATATTTCTTTGAAGAAAAATTACATGGATGTCATGGCAGCACAGCAGACTGTAATAGAAGGACAATCGAGCTTACGAAAAAATTCTGATAACTTCTTGCAGCTGTACAATGTTTATCAAATGATCTATAGCCTATGTTTGTTATCATTTAAAATTAGATGGGAACAAAAAAAAACTTATAAATGTATCATTGGTGTCATCAGGTCCCCTTGGCCACTATCCGGACGAGCACTTCTTTGAGAAGATTCCCTGCAAGCTGATTAAGGAGTTTCAAGGAGACCTTGAAATACAAAGTGTAATCATCAAAGTCAGAAACGAGAATCTGGATGTCCCATACACATACATGAACCCAACTGTGGTGGAAAATAGTGTGGCTATTTAAATATGTGAGTGACCTCCTTGGCAAATCCAGCTTCATCTTATCTGAAGTGGAAAAAAGGAGAGCCTTTAGTGGAAAGAAATCATTGTATATATTATGATCATTTATGGTTATAGCACTTATGTGCAGCTTTCATTGAAAATGTGGGATTGAGAGCTTCTTTGTTTGTCAATGATTAAACAGGCCTTCTAATCAAAGTATTTTTGGGAAAAAAATGATTTTGCCTTCACACTTTAAAACTTAAGAAGTACTCTGTGCCTCATGGCATACTGTTAGAATGACTTGTGCATTATTTTAGGGACATAAGAGTGGGGTTAAATCAAGGAAAATGGTGAGTTGCAGTAATCTTAAAACTGTGAAACTGTACTGTACATGCTTTGTCTATATTTTCAATGGGGAAAATTCAAGGGGGTCAGGTTACTGTCCTGAAAACTGCCTACTTTCTTTCCTGCCACTTTTGGCTAGGTTCCTACCAAGACAGATGGCAAAATCATACAGCAGTTGGTCCATACTTTAGTTCAAGAATGTTCTTTCAATTTTTACTTTTAATAAAAATATATTCAAATAATTTATGGATGTTGTGTTTTACGTCACTAACAACTTATTTTCTTGGATACTGAGAATCTTATGTCCTGTAAGTACTTTCAGTTCCAACATGACTTTCAGCAAAAAGTCCAGTGTTGAATTAACTCCCAGAGTTGATTTTAACCCTTTTTCAGGGTTTATATAGCTCCACACTTTTTAGAGTCAAATTAACACTTTTAAAATAGTTAAACATTTAACATTGAGAGAGTTCCCTTTTCAACTCGCTAAACAGAGTTAAAATAACACTTAGGGATTAGAAAAGTAACTCTGCTACGACACTTATTTTCTACCTGACTAGTGTCAGTTTCTGTTGGGGTTGTATCAAGTCAACTTTGGTTATATTCGTTAATAATTATATTTACTTATTAATCATATAAATAACAATATCATTAAACTATGTTTAATCTCGTTTGGGGCACCAACCTGTAATCAGGGAAATATAACCAAATTATCACTCAAATCAGTTACTTAATTACTAATATTATTAATAATTAATAACTATATTTAATAATTTGAAGGCGTGAAATCCTTACACAAAGCCTTCGCACCCAGCTTATATCACAATGCAAATACACCAGTAATCACAAACAACTGCTCTCTTAAAATTATAACAGAATTTATTTAAACAAAACAACATCAATCCAAAATCAATGAACTTAATCAAACAAATAACTATTATAAACTAATCTAAGCAAACAAACATTATCAAGCAAAACTTGTGAATGAGGTGTAAATGTGTGTGTGTGTGTGTGTGTGTGTGTGTGTGTGTGTGTGTGTGTGTGTGTGTGTGTGTGTGTAGATGAGAGAGAGAGAGCGAGAGAGAGAGAGAGAGAGAAAACAAGATGGTGGAGAGAGACAATGAACCATGTGGCTTCTACCTTTTGAAATAGTTTGAGAAAGAAAGCCAGTGACCGGACTTTGATTCAACGGCGGGTACACTGGTCTTTCTGATTGTGAAAGCCGTTGACTGAAGGTAAACTAGCATAGCATTACATACATAGACGAACACAGCGGTTCATTATAATAAAACAAATGCAACAGCTTACAACAGATAATAAACAGAATGTGACGTCTCGTCAACAATGATGCATAATTATCAGTGATTATAAAAGAAACATAACTATTTCTGAAACTATTTCTGCCCAGCCCAAAGCTCTTACTTGGGGTAACTCCTGGTGATCGTTACAAAGTTGGTTAGATCGTCACTCTGTTGAATGTTAAATCAACAGATTCAGGCAGGTTTCTAGTGATGTGTAGTTTGTGAACGATTTGTTCAAAACAAACAAATCATCTAAGTGAACGAACTGAACTGAATCACTTACTGAAAAGAGTCGTTCATTTCTCAACTTCAGTTGCGCTCTCCTCTCTCCCGTCTGGTGTCTCTCTCTCCAGACCGTAAGAGTCGCTCAAAGCCCGCCCTCCCTCTCCTTTTATGTCAGTGATACGTACTGACTGAACCAACAGGACGGAGTCGGTCGGGAGCTCTGTGTCGCTAAAGCCCGCCCCTACTTCTCCCTCTCATGTCTCCAAAATTGAGGAAGTAGAAAATATATTATTTAACATTTAGGTGTCGCGAAAATGTATGTGCTTTTTATAGCTGCTGTCAGTTTGCAAACAGCTTTTATATCCAACTTAATTTCACTCAGCTGACTGTTTTAACATCCACTAACGATCGTGTTTCAGTCAGTACAGTGTGTGTGTGACTGAGGCTGGTGACTCGCAGTCTTGCTCGTTCACGTTCAGTCAGTGTTTCGTTCACTGAACGAACTGAGAGGAAGAGAGTGACTCGGAGAGTGACTCGTTCACTGAACTCGTTCAGTTCAGTGAACGAACTGAACGAGAGCTCCGACATGAATCACTGAACGAACTGAGAGGAAGAGCGGGGAACGGGAACGGGAGCTCCGCCTCCGAGTCACTCTCTTCCTCTTCTTGTACTGAACGTACTGAACAGAACGGTCGGGAAAAATAAATGTGATTGTTTTAGCAGCTTTCAGTTTGCAAACTGTAGCTTTATCCAACTAAATTCTCAGCTCATTTATTATTCACCACCGGCTGTTCTCAGTACGATCGCGAGCAGAACTAAACGGCCGTGTTTCAGCTTATTAAATTCTGATTCACAGACAGAGCTGCGGAGAAGTACTGAACGATTCGGTGAACAGATCTTTTGAACGAATCACTTTACTGAACTGATTCTACTGATTCAGTACACTGAAAAGAACTGCTTTTCCCATCACTACAGGGTTCCTTCGTGGCAGATGTAGGAGGAGGGAAGCGGGATTCAGATCTTCAACCAAAGCGCTGCTCTGTGGTCATCTGGTTGCAGGAGCCGAGTTCTTTATGTGTCCTTGTGGATTCAGGGATCAGTGGGCTTCCTTCAGCGCTCCTGTCCAGTTGCGTTCAATGACGTCTTACGAAAAATCAAAGGAAAGAAACTCTTCTTTTTGCTCGAACCTGATAGCATCTGATTGCGCCCAAAACTCCTACAAATATGCAGTGGAAGTAGTCAGCTGAATCCTCTGATGCTTGAATTCAGCATGTGCTTTCAAGCATAGTCAGCTCAACTTATCATGGTATATTAATTTCAGATCATGCCACTCTGTCTTATGAAAATTAATTTTAATATTCCCATACGTCGTTGTAACTGGAGATTTAACCCCTTTCTGCATGCAGACCCATCCTTTTGTGAATACATAGCAGCTAAGATCTCAGACTTTTTACTCACTAATGATAACAGTGCGGTTTCAGATTCAATTCTTTGGGAGACCTTTAAGGGTTAGGGTCATATTGTCTCCTACCAATCACCGAGCAAGAGAGCCAGACAGCGGCGATTATCTGACATTGAGGCTGAGCTATCTGTATTAGAGGGCATTTATCGCCAATCTAAATTCATTGACACCTTTAATTCCATCTTGAAAATAAAATACAATATAACAATATTATTGGAGAGCAGGTCAAAAACCATATCCGCAAGCTCAAGCAAAAGCACTTTGAGTTAGGCGATAAGGCCGACAGGCTGCTTGCCAGACAGTTAAAAGGCGTGCAGGCAGACAGGGCAATACATAAAATCTTTTCCTTTACTGGTGAAATACTAACAGATCCCAAACTAATCAATGATAGATTTGTTAGTTTTTTCAGCCAGCTGTACGCCTCTAAGTCTAAAGCCACTGTGGTTGACATTGCTGGCTTTCTCAATGTGTTAGACATCCCAGTTCTTGGTGATGTGGCTAGGCAGGAAATGGATTCAGACCTTACTCTGGAAGAAATCAAAGCCGCTATTCGTTAATTTCCTAATGGCAAAGCTTGCGGCCCGGACGGCTTTGGAATAAAGTTTTATAAAGTTCACATAGATACTGTTGCCCCTCTTTTACTCAGTATGGTAAATAGCTCTCTTCATGACGGTAGCTTTCCAAAAACGTTGTATGATGCTCACATCTGTCTTCTTCTGAAAAAAGATAGGAACAGTACTAATGTCTACTGTTCATTGACTCCACTTTATGTGGACAAGATAGCATCGCTAAAAATTACAGCTCTGCAGTTGATCGTTTACAGACAGAAGATGTGTCACACATTCAAGAAGTAAAGTTCAGGAAAGACACATTATACCTCCCTAAGGGTTTTAAATGTCATGTATCACTTGTTTTATTTTGTTATTGCACTTTCATTTGTAAAGATTTGCTTTTAATTAAAAACATCTATGAGATTTAAATCCTCTTGTTCTTTTAGTTAAGGCAAAGGGTTACGCTTACGTAGGTTTCATTTAATCCTCAGCCAGGGTTTAAAAGTATAAAGACATTGTAAAAATTGGACTAAAGTGAAGGAATATGACTTGTTCACAACTCACTCTAGAGATGTTTAAATATTTTGAGCCCAGAAGTTTATGTCAAGGCAGCGATGAGAACAGAACAGAAGGATTTGCATATCATGTTCCTGTGTTAAATATATTGAAAAGTATGCTAGAGTCTAATTTC